TAGCAACCATTGTTAATTTGTTATATTTCTTGTATTTTTGAGTTTTAAATCCAGTAAACTAACTTAGTTTACATCGATTAGGTTGGAATATCTTAGTTTAGGTGGGAGTTGAGTGATTTTGTAGAAAGGTTTAATTTGTATTTGTATCAAAATTTGGTTCTAACTTTTAAGCAATAAAAGAACTAATTTAGTCATCTTGTATAGGCTTGGAAATCGTGTTGAGTTTGGGTTAGTGGGTCGCGGGTTGGCGGATGAAAATACATCAACCCAAACACGACCCATTTAAATATACATGTCATGGGTTGGCGGGTTTGGAACATAAACCTATATACGACTCGTCAACCCACTTATTTATACGAGTTCATAGGTTGGGAGGTTTGTGGGTAAGATTTGGGTTCGTGGGTCAGATTCTATAAATAAAATAGATAATTAAACATGAATAAGATCTGGATGTAAAAGAAAATTAAGAGTATTCATGGAAACGCATTAAAACTAAAACGTTAATACAAACATAGATAAAATCAAGTGCTACTGTAATAGCCACATTAATACAAATATAAATAGAAACATTAATCCTACATTCCTATGAATAATACTGAATGCATTTTAAAAAAATATATAATTTTTTTATTAAAATTCTAAATGGGTTGGCGGGTCAACCCGTATGTTTTTTTTTTTTTGACAAATCCATATATCTCGTTTAATAAACAGGTCGGCGGGTTGAAAAACTCAACCTAAACTCGTTTATTTCATGTAGTGTCCCGAGTCGTGTTGAGAGTTGTCAGGTCTAATCTTGTATGTGATATTGCATATTATGTTAGTCTTTCAAATTCGCCGTATGTTTAACCAATTTGTATAAATCCCAAAATTTATATCAAAGAGAATTTCTCCACCAAAGTTTTTAACAAATGGTCTAACACACACACACATATATATATGTATGTATGTATATATATATATATATATATATATATATATATATATATATATATATATATATATAGAGAGAGAGAGAGAGAGATGTAAGTTCACTTGAGAAAATAAAAAATATTGAGAATGGGGGAATCATTCTCAGCCAATCATTTAATTAGCATATTGGCATAAAATACACGGCGGCAAATTTATAAATATGATATATTAACCTTCAATCACATATACCATTTCTTCTGGATCGTTTATCTGTTCTTCATCAACACCATCTGTTATTCATTCATCTCGATTGTTCCTCTGTGTTCTTCATCAACATCATATGTTCTTCATCAACATCATACATTCTACTACTTGTTCGCTATCAAAATCAAATGTTCTTCATAAAAAAAGACATCGACACTTCATAAAATCATCAAAATCTTCGTTTATTCATCAAAATGTTGTGATTCGTCATTAAAAACATTTATTTGTACTATTAAGTGTAACTTGTGATTCAATCTTGTCCAATTTCGTTGACATCAAGCAAAATCGTTAAAATAATCCTCATTTATCGATGTCACATCATTTAGTGATCACCAATCATCGAAACTTCATCAAAGCAGCCTTCACCAATATCAAACAACAGGTAGCAATCGAAAGTTCATCAACATAACCATATATTTGAAGATTTTTTTAAAAATCGTTTTTCATACATTTTTTTTCATAATTTTTTATATAAACCTATTGATTATTAATCGATTTTGATAGGATTTGATTTGTTTTGTAATTATTGGCTTCAATTCTGAATTTTTTTACCATAGTTATATAAGTTAATTTATTTGCACGTCAACATTTCGATGATATGCATAAACTACATATATCACGTAATATTCACAAGTGAATATGCCTTTATACGGGAATCAATGTATATCTTTTAGAAACACAGAGCAAGTATGTAATTGAGATGTGAATAATATATAAAAAAATATATTCACATGCGAATACATGTAATATTTACAAATGAATACAGGTAATATTCATAAATGAATACATATAATACGTCATTTTAAGGTCCTATGCAAGTTTGTAATTCATATGTGAATAACATATAAGAATTATATCCGTATGTAAACATATGTAATATTCACAAATGAATATATATATATGTAATAATTAAATGTGAATATATATATATATATATATATATATATATATATATATATATATATATATATATATATATATATATATATATTATTCACAAATGAATAAAACTATCAATAAACCGATGACTATAAAATATATAAAATTAAAGATAAAAAAATATTTGATAAGAATATATATTTATTCACATACTACTAATCCTTTTAGGTTAATAAAATAATTATATATATATATATATATATATATATATATATATATATATATATATATGTTAATGTTATATTCATTTGTGAATAAATGATAACTTTTTTTTTCAGAAAATTATAAAAATAGAAAAATGTCATTTTGAGGCCCTAAACAGTCCCGAATGACCAAAAAACACCGTACGTCACGACGAAGCTGTGAGTTTTGTAAATCGCACAATTTTACATCAAATATGCGAATTTCGTCCAATTCCGAGACTAAACTTCATTGCGGCAAACTGTTTTTATGATATCACTAAATTTTCATTACTACTACTGATGACATCATCATTATTCATATATGAATAAAGGTTAGAAATCATTACGATATATTTACTGACGATGTTACTAACTTCAATCCCATTAATAAAAACATCGTTATTGTAATCTGTTATTTTTATTTATGTGAATAAACTATACATGTTGATTTATTTATTTTGTGAATACAATCTTTATATATAAAAAGAAATAATACACTATAATAATTGGTTTGTGCATAGTTTTTTTGTATAATGTAACAATATTATTTTACATGTAAAATCAACATTATACTAAGATAAACAACATTGTATTGGTTAATGAATATCATTTGTCTTTGAATTTAATACGATCAAAATGAACAATATATTAAATTGTAAAACATTTACATGTAAATATGAAATATATTGTCTTCATCAATGATATCTTCTCAATTACGTTAACCAATCGTCAACCACCGAGATATGAACCAACCATTGATTGAAATGTTATTCTTTTATTGAGTTGTAACGATGTCTGCAAAACATGTGAATACACATAAAAATTTAAAAATATACTTTTAGTTCATAATGATAACGATTTATCATATTCTAATTATCACATGGTATATTCACATATGAATGTATAATCATATGTGAATATTATATGATATATGTTGTTTATATTGTATATTTACATGTGATATTACATGGTATATTCACAAATGAATATTACATAGTATATTCACATATGAATATTATATGGTAGATTTACTTGTGAATATTACACATTCTAATCACATCTAAATATTGCATGGTATATATTCATTCATGAATATTACACAGGATATTCACATATGAATAATATATAATATATACACTTGTGAATATGATACATGATATTCATATTTAAATATTAAACGATGCATTCACTTGTGAATATTACATAGTATTTTCACTTGTAAGTATTAAATGATATATTCACTTATTAATATTAGATGATATATTCATATGTGAATATTACACAGTTTATTCACATATGAATATTACACAAGATATTAACATATGCATATTACAAGATATATTCACAAATATATATAACTTTTATATGTTATTCACATATGAATAACATATAAAATTATATATTTATTTTGTGTTTTAATAATCATATACATATTAAGGTGCGAAAACATATTCATATGTGAATATAACGTGGTAATTTAGTTTATGCATTTCATCAAACAGTTGGAGTGCATACAAGTAAGCTTTCTTAAAAATGCTAAAACCATGATACTTTGACTATTTTAAAACTTACAAAATAGTAGATTGATAGAGAATTATATGAAATTTTTCAAAAAAAAAAAAATGATTTGATGTTTTTCTAACCTTAATTTCGAAGTTTTGTTTGATGATCGATGTTGAATGAATGATATGAAGTGAAACTGTTGTTGATTATCGATGATATTGATCTAATGACATTGGGAGTAAAATTAATCGTAGATGTTGAAGATATTCTCGTATTCAAGCATAGTTGAAGATTGGATTGAAAGAAACCAAAAAAGATTTTTTTTTTTTTTTGGTCTACTGTTGAATGATGTTGATGAACGTGTTTTTGATGAAGATGGATGATTGATTAACACTAGATGATGTTGATCGATAATTTAATTGAAGAAATCTGGATGATCGTTGAACGTTGGAGAAGAAATTTGGATGATGAACGATCGAGTAGTAATGAATTTGAATTGTTATCAAATTATCCACAGTTACATATCTGTGATTGAAGGATATCATATCATATTTACAAGTTTGTCACCGTATATTTTAAGTTAAAATTCTAATTAAATGATTAGCTGAGAATGATTCCCCAATTCTCAACCTTTTTTTTTCTCAATTGAACCCTCCTCTCTCTCTCTCTCTCTCTCTCTCTATATATATATATATATATATATATATATATATATATATATATATATATATATATAGGAGTAGGATCAAATGAGAACACCTAAAAGGTTGAGAATGCGAGAACAGATCTGAACCATTTAAATACTTAAATCTAAGGTCATTATTGAAAAGGGGATTTATGAAAAATTCTTAAATTGTTGGCATTAAAATGTAACTTTTAAATGGTCAGAAGGACATAACAGGAATTTCAACTTTACCTGTATCCTATAATTTCTCACCCACTCACATATTTCCTTTAATCTTCTCGTGTATATATTTCCACCTCTCTCTTTTTAGGGTTTCATAAAACTCAGGCCATCATCGATCTGGGCATCACCTACAATCCACCACGAAGATATGTTCCCCATCTCCATCTTACACCGCAACTATCATCATCGTACACAGCTCCAATCAAGAGTGATGGCCGAAGATGATTGTGACAATTGGCAATGACGAAGATGACTGTGACAATTGGCAATGGCGAAGATGACTGTGACAATTGGAGATGGTGAAGCAGCGATGTTTGAGGAATATTGCGGTGGTACTCGGTTGGCCCAACGAGCAGACCACAACCAGTAAACCACAATACTGGTGTTCGTGTCATTCTACAGGTATGCTACCATTGATTTGTAGGTTGATCCTTTCTCACCTGAAGTCGGGTAGATTTAGTGGATGGAAAGGGACACATTGTTCACAGGTATGCTCTTTGAAATTTTATTATCCAAATACAAATATCTTAACACATGGCTACCCAGATTTGGTATTTAATCGAAAATCATGGATCACTCTAAAAAATTGTACATTTTTGTTTAGAAATTGTCAATGGTCTTTAATTTGTTGAATGAATGGGAACCAATGGGGCCAAGAGGGTCTGTTCGTGAAGAAGGGATGAACTGTGCACATAAGGTGCTCGATAAAATGTCTATGAGAGCATTTTCGACTAGAATGATGGAAGGGATCTCGATGGCACAGTTGCTTCGATTGTTAATGATTATCTTCTCTTTTATTTTTATTTTGACTGTAAATCAATGAAGTTTAATCAACTACATTTCTTTACTCGTATTTCTTTCTATTCATATATGAATCTAGCTTTGGAATTAAGTTTTATGAACCACAAGATCTTATCGTGAAAACGTCTACTCAAAACCACAAGGTTTCTGCTATTTTGGTGTTCGGAGACTCCACTTCTGATCCTGGAAACAACAACTACATTCCGACCCATTTCAGGGGCAATTTCACATCTTACGGGAGAGATTTTGCAAACCAAAAAGCGACAACGAGGTGTACCAATGGAAAGAAACACAATCCTAATTTTCGAATTTTTTGGTAATAATTTCTTGAAGGGGGTGCGTGAATAGTTGTATTTATTTATGAATAGCAGGTGTATTCATTTATGAATAACATTGTAGTTATGTGTGAATGGTTGTATTCATTTATTAATAGCACGTGTATTCATTTATGATAGAATATGTATTAATTTATAAATAACAGTGTATTCATTTGTGAATTTCAATGTATTTATGTGTGAATGATTGTATTTATTTATGAATATTAATGTATTCATGTGAATGAGTGTATTTATTTATGATTAGAGGTATTCATTTTATGAAAAAATGATAATTTTTACACTTTTTTTTATTTTCAATTTATGAAAAATGCATTGAATTATTTATAATTTGATGTGTTTTCATTTATGATTGAAAGTGTATTGATTTGCGATTGGATTTCTGTTCATTTTTATTTTTGAAAAACAAAAACGTGAAATAGTAGAAAATAATAATTTTTTAAGATTTTCTTTTCAGATTAAAAAAAAAAAGGAAATATTAACTTTTTTAGGTGATTTTTTTTGAAACGGTCATAAATAATTTTTGGGAAAATCATAAAAAATATTTATATATATTTTATTAACTAAAATGAAATATTAATTTTGTTAGGTAATTAAAATCATTATCCCTAGATTTTATGAAATTAACAATTAATATTTATATAACGTTACTAATATACCCATATAAAATGATTGGTCCATAACTGTTCTTGTATTCTCAACTTTTTAGGTTTTCTCATTTGATCTTCTCCATATATATATATATATATATATATATATATATATATATATATATATATATATATATATATATATATATATATATATATATATATATATATATATATATATATATATATGGAGAAGATCAAATGAGAAAACCTAAAAAGTTGAGAATACAAGAACAGTTATGGACCAATATATATATATATATATATATATATATATATATATATATATATATATATATATATATATATAATATATATATATATATATATATATATATATATATATATATATATATATATATATAATATATATATATATATATATATATATATCAATTCTCCAATTTCTAACTGCGATGAACCACCGTAATAAATAATAATAAAATAATCACATATAATATTTAAACTCATATTATCTTAACAATAACAAAAAGGATAAGCTGAAAAAATTAGTGAAATCATAAAAAATATATATACAAAAAGTTTGCTCCAAAAAATAGACAGTTAACGGAAAGTCTTTGGTTTCAAAACAATTTCTTATATGCTCTGCATTATACGGATTTTGGTACAAGATTAGATTCCATAGTATTGTATATGATTTTCGCAGTCAACGTGGCAAAAATAACATTTTTTTTTTCAGAAAATACGGTATTTTACATATTCGTAGATGCCGTAAATTTTAACAGGTACTAAAATGACGTCATTATAGGCATAAAAATGTGCAAGCCACCAATATTTTCACAAATAACAACCTATTAAAAATATGATTATTTCGGATATTTTCTAATTTGTTGTAAAGAAAACCTTAAAAGAATAGCGATTATGATAATTATCTCTATATATAATTTATTGTAACATAATATATTTAGTTATCAATTTGTCATCTTATATTAACAATATAACGTGATATAAATATTTGATGATTAACATTCTTTTCACACCCAAACCAACATGGCTCAAATAATTGCGACTATTAGATTTGATAGTTCCGAAATTCAAATTTAGTCCAAACTTTAGTGATGTGACTTTATTGGATACTCAAATGAAATATTTTACACTTAGATGCCTTGAAAAATGTTTGGTGACAATTTTTGTCCATATGCACATTAAAAGACTCCAAATGGTACAAAGCTTTTACCACCACATGGCAATCCATGGCATACCATCAAAGGCACTGGATGCCTTTATTGGCCTATTTGCTTTGCCTACCCTATAAATGGGGTAAATGCTTAAATTGTGATTCCAATCGATATTTTCCTATATTCGTGTCATGGCTTGATTGAGTTGGAGGAAAAAAACGAACATATTTGCTTACGGAATCAGTGTTTGATAACTCGAACAAACGATAAGTCTAACATACAAAATATCTATGATGGCTTGTCATGTTCTTGGGTAAGCTCATGTTATATGATAATATTAGCATAACAAGTGAGCGAGAACGCAAACTTAAAAGTTTGATCATATTGCACATGTCAAGAGAAAACCTTAAAAGTTGTGATTGACAATGAAATACTGTTAGAAAATTAAGGGACGAATTACACATTTCGGAAAGTGTTTGATAAACATGATCACACAGTTAGCTAAAGTATGAGTTCCTGACAGCACTCTCAAAGGTCCAGAGGTCATAAAGGAAACAACAGAGAAGATCGTTCAGATTTGTGAACGATTGAAAGCCTATAGAGACCGACAGAAAAGCTACGCAGACAAGAGAATGAAACCTTTGGAATTCCAGGTCGGTAACCGTGTTTTTTTGAAGGTCTCACCCTGGAAGGGCTTGATACACTTCGGAAAGCATGGAAAGCTAAATCCAAGATACATAGGGCCTTTCGATATTTTCGCTAGAATCGGACCCGTAGCTTAAAAACTCAAACTACCTCACGAACTTAGTAACATACACCCTACTTTCCACGTTTCGAACTTGAAAAAGTGCCTATTCGACGAGACTCTACTTATCCTACTCGACAAGATCGAGATCAACGAGAGCCTCACCTTCGTGGAAGAACCAGTAGAGATCATGGACCGACAGGTCAAGCGAACGAAGCAAAGCTATATCCTGATAGTGAAGGTTCATTGGAATGCCAAGCGGGGACCTAAATTCACTTGGGAGCACGAGGATCAAATAAAACTGAAATATCCTCATCTTTTCACTTAATATATCTATATTTTCTTCAACTCTAATTTCGGGACGAAATTCTCTCTAATGGGGGGATGATGTGACAACCCAACATTTCTATCATGTAAAGCCATTCAATTCAATCAAAAGACAAACTTGTTTATGCTATCTTTTAGCATTGTTAAGGGTTTGTTTGAGTGTTCTAAGCCTAGTACATTCAAGGATTGAGTGTTAGGATGTGTTAACTAAAGTTCATTGTGTTGCATTCAAGTTGGAAACCCCATCACAAGGAGTTTACGGCCACAAACTAGAGTTTACGGCCATAAACTCTTGGCCGCCGTAAACTCTTCTTTTTAAGTATGAAGATCCTTCAATTTTCTTCTTTTCTCATAACTTCCAACCAAGAACTCTCATTTCTATCTCAAATATCATCAAGAACACTTCCATTTCACTTCAAATTTGTAAGTGATTCTTTCATTATTAGTTGATATCCTTCTTGATCTAGTAAAACCCTATGATTTCATCTGTGGATTCATCTCTTTTGGGTTCGATCTTCAAATCATCAAGAACACCAAGAACACACACTAGTTATTTGGGTCGTAATCACCCCTTCAATCTTCCAAAACGTAAGTATCCTTTCCATATACTAGTTATCTATTAGAATATCTTGAATTACAAACAATAATCCATCATTTTAGCATGAACATCAAGAGTTTACAACTATAAACCCTTCTTGGGGCTGTAAACCTTTCTTAGTTCATGAGGTGGTCGTGAACCCTTCAAGTCATAGCTAAAAACCTTAGCTTGTTCATATATGGACGTAAAATCCTTGGCCGTGAACACCCCTTGGTCGTAAACACACACTTGTGTGGCCGTGAACACTCTTTATACAATCATATGTGATTGTAACACTTCATTCCAAGTGTTTCCTAGTCCCTAAGGTCGTGCCATTACATGATTAGTTGTTCTATACACTAATTATATACATATATATGTGTCATTATATGCTTAATAGGACCCGTTTGTACTCGAGACTTCACTTGACACTTAGCATCCCATATCGATCTTACATTCGAATCACTCACTAAAGGTGAGTTCATACCCATAAACTTATATTTTAAATGATTTTAAATGCTTCTAGGGGGGATACAAATAGAAAACATTATAGTTATACTATCAACCACATGTGATTTATAACTATCAAACAAGAGGATTTCTTCTACTTAAAACTGTGTTATCAAACAAACTTTTTCAAAACATTTTATAAACTGACATCAAGTCACCAATAACCATTCAAATGGTTAAAACTCTTTTATATGTTAAACTCTTTATCAAACTCTTTTAAGTTTTTATATTATCAAAATCATGTCTATATATATATATATATATATATATATATATATATATATATATAAGGTTGAAAAGGCTTAGGACTAATAACTCGCTTTATTTCCTGTTCCTTGTTTGGTTGTGGACTTAGGGTATCGGTGGTTTGTCCGAGTGTCGTTTGAACGTTAGTCACATATTATGTATATGTATGTAGATACAAAAGTTCTTCCAATCAGTTCAATACCTTTGGGTAGCAAAGGTGTACATACATGATCAGTCATTCAAACAAACATTACTAGTAAACTATAATATGTATAGTTTAGAAGATTACTACTCACTATTTCTAGAACAATGAAACTTACAAGATTTGGTTCATACATGATTCAATTCAAACATACTATAACGAGAAACAGAAAGACCATACTATAAACTAGAACATAGAGAATATACTATACACTAGAACAAAGAGAACATACTATACACCATAACATAAGGAACATACTACACTAATACAAGAACAATATAACATTAATGTGAGCCACTACTTCATGGCATGGCAATATACTGTTGTGTCACGTTTTGTAACCAGAGTCTCCTGGAGGGAGAGCGTGAATTTGTGTATAAATCTATACGAGATCGACCATCCTACACCTTGCTGCTAGCTACAGTGAGACTTGCAGGTCTATGGGTGACGAATGTCACACCATTTTGACGTCTTTGATCGTCATGTTTTACTAGTCAATCGAGTATGGTTATAATCTCATCACGTTTTACCTTAATTAAACAATTGGTTTATGGTAGTTAGTACATTTGTAGTTACTATATACAATACT